CCAGCAATCATGCCCTAGGTATTTACTCAAAAACTTATGTACACATAAAACCTGTATACAAATGCTGATAGCAGCTTTATTCATAATGGTCAAACATGGGAAAAAGCCCTTCAATTGGCAAGATTTGCTTTCATAGGTGAGTGGATAAACAAACTGTGGTACATCCAGAGTAAAATAAAATTCAGTGATAAAAAGAAATGATAAAAAAAAAAAAGACATGGAGGAAGCTTAAATGCATATTGTCAACTAAAAGAAGACAGCTTGAAAAGGTTACATACTGTATGCTAAATATATGTCATTTAGAAAACACAAAACTGTAGAGAAAGCCAGGGGTTTGGAGAGAAAGGGGGCGAGATAAATAGTTGGAACACAAGGGATTTTTAGGGCAGTGAAACTATTTCGCACAACAAGGCAATGGTGGCTACATGACATTATACATTTGTCAAAACTGATACAACTATATAACAAAAAGAGTGAGCCCTAAACTATGGACTTTAGTTTATAATAATGTATCAGTACTGGTTTATCAATTGTAACAAATACACCACACTAATGACATATGCTAATAATAGGAGAAATCTTCCATGGAGGTAGAGGAGGTACATGGGAACACTGTAAAACCAGCTCAATTTTTCTTTTTTCTTTTTTTTTGAGACAGAGTCTCATTTTGGTACCCAGGCTGGAATGCAATATGTAGTGCAATCATAGCTCACTGTAACCTCAAACTCCTATGCTCCAGTAATCCTCCTGCCTCAGCCTCCTTGAGTAGCTAGGACTACAGGCACATGCCACCACGCCTGGCTAATTTTTTAAGTTTTTGTAGAGACAGGGTCTTGCTATGTTTCCCAAGCTAGTCTCAAACTCCTGGCCTCAAGTAATCCATCCACTTCAGCCTCCTGAAGTGCTGGAATTACAGGTGTGAGTCACCACGCCTAGCCTTGGAATAGTTTTTCATCCAGGAATCCTGAGATGGGGTGTCTGAGAATGGGGAAAAAATCTCTTTATTAAAAAATAGTCATCCTAGGAACTGGATGATATTCAGAGGACTAGAAGAAAAAGGAGAAAAGGTAGCCTATGTGTTAATATGAGAAAATAAAATATTATTAAATTTGAAGCAAAATTAAGGATTGTTAGTTAAAAACTTCCCTATCTGTACACATTAAAATGGGAAATAGAACTTGGGCCTTCCTTTTATATAGGATCACTGTTACTATAATGGAGAGTCAACAGGTGACCTGGATTCTTTTGTGACTGTCAGCACTTACTCAGTGCCAAAGGGAATTCTGACTCCATGGCACTGTCTTTGACATCAAGCCTATAAATACCTCAAACAAATTGAAACATATGGTTTACAGCATATCTTGAAATCAGGTTTCACAGCAGAATAGAACCCAGTCCACATGCCCTATGGAAGCTTTCCAAATATGTAGAAACGTTTATTGTGGTTGACAATAAGTAATTACAAATGGAATAATATAATGTGACCAACATTACACAGATGGTAACAGATGTCCACACACTGGCCAAGTGGTACAATAAGGAGCGAAACAGTACTTGCTGGTTAGATAATATGGACTAGTTAGGAGACATAGACAGAAAGCAAGCTAGTGCAAATGCCCCTGAAGCTACAGAAAACATTTCAAATTTTTAACTGCTGGAGAGACCGGCTGGAACCCTTTGAGAAAGGTGAAACATGTAGTTACTCATATGATCATTGGTCAAAATCCTGGAAAGTACCAGGGCTATGCATTTCTCAGTGGTATCTGTAGAGCTAAGAATACAGTGAGTGTTGAATCTTTCTTTCATGAAGATAAAGCTCACTTTGCAGCTCTCATGGCTCATGAGCTTGGCCACTTGGAAATGAAACACGACTATATGGCCAAAAGTGTCATGGCCAGAACCTCTGCACCTGTACTATGCATTAATTTATTACTATGGATATGGGCTTCAGCAACTGAAGCTTCCACTGCTTCCATTCATTTTTGCACAGGGACAGAGAGGACTGCCTGCTCAATAAACTTGAGCGCCAAAGCTCCTTTGGAAAGCCATATTGTGGGAACAAGATAGTGATGAAGGAGAAGAATGCAAGTGTGGCAATGTCCTTGATTGTGAAAGGGATCACTGTTGTCTGCCATCACATTGGCTGAAGAAGGGTACAGATTGTGCATTTGGATTCTGCAGCAGACACTGCAAATTTCTAAAAGCAACCACACCCTGCTGCCTCAGTGTAGGTGAATGTGACCTCTGAGAGCACTTTAATGGCACCTCTGAGTGGTGCCACACAGATATATGCAAGCAAGATAGTAGCCCTTGCAAAGAACAAGGTTATTGTTACCAGGGCCAATGCAGAAGCCTGGAGAATCAGTGCATTAAAATCTCTGGAAAGGGCACACGAGCTGCCTGGAAATTATCATTATCAAGGGGGATAGGTTTGGAAACTGGCAGTGAGTCTAAAGGATTGTCTAAAGTTTTTAGCAAGTACAAAGCCAAATGTGTAAGATGTGAGAGACTGCTATGTGGAAACATCTAAAGATACCACATGCTGAAAAACATCACTTACCCATTTTCCCATGCAGGACATGTGGTGTTGGAGTACAGACAGGGCTGATGAGAGGGAGGTAAAGGATGGAACTCCATGTGGTCCACAAAAGATCTGTATCAATCAATCCTGCTTAGGTACCACTGTACTCCACTATGACTACAACCTGGACAAGTATCATGGGAAGGTTGTTTACAACAATTTTAAGAACTGGCACTTGCCTACAGCTATGCCCCTACCACATGAGAATTTAAGGATTAGGAGGCAGTCTAACAGTGGCCCAGCTCCACATATCCCCTCTGACTCTCAGTATCACAAAAAGCTGATAATCCTAATTTGAGTCTTGCCTAGCTGCTTTTTACTTCTCATTCCTACTATCTTTTTGTTTGCTTACATCCGTAGACAATCTAAGACACTATAAATACAAAAACCAAACAAACAAAAATCACTGGAACAGCAAAATGAACAAACCTAAAAAAATTTGATAATTACCTTCTTTCTGGTAATAAGGCCAAATATGAAGTGATACTGAAAGGACCTTTTAAGAACTGGAACTGGACTTCTGGTCAACGCATGAGCGCAGTGGCTCATGCCTGTAATCCCAGCACTTTGGGAGGCCGAGGCGGGTGGATCACCTGAGGTCAGGTGTTCGAGACCAGCCTGACCAACATGGTGAAAACCCGTCTCTACTAAAATACTACAAAAATTAGCCAGGCGTGGTGGTGGGCGCCTGTAGTCCCAGCTACTCGGGAAGCCAAGGTAGGAGAATCACTTGAACCCAGGAGGTGGAGGTTGCAGTGGGCCAAGATCACGCCACTGCACTATACCCAGGGTGACGAGCAAGACTCTGTCTCAAAAAAAAAAAAAAAAATTTGGATTTTTTAGTTCTGGTGTCCCTCAAGGACTATGGATATAGGAACTCTTTCTTTCCTCCATCTACTTTTCTACATGCTGACTGCTTATTCGTTTTTAAAATAAAAGAAGTTAATGCAGCTTCCTAGGTGAGGCAGTCTTTTTTGTTCTGTGCTATCATGAAATCAGGTCTCAGGATCTCTGGGGCAATGAGAAGCCTCAAGATATGATCTTGACAGAATAAGACCAGGTTACCCTCCATAACTTCCATGAAGCTCATGGTCTAAAACTGAAAAAGCTATCATTGAGCTCCCTGGTATTTCTTTCTTTCTTTTTTGAGATGGTGTTTCACTCTTGTTGCCCAGTTTGGAGTGCAATGGTGTGATCTTGGCTCACCACAACCTCTGCCTCCTGGGTTCAAGCGATTCTCCTGCCTCAGCCTCCTGAGGAGCTGGGATTACAGGCATGTACCACCATACCCAGCTAATTTTGTATTTTTAGTAGAGACAGGGTTTCTCCATGTTGGTCAGGCTGGTCTCAAACTCCCAACCTCAGGTGATCCGTCCACCTTGGCCTCCCAAAGTGCTGGGATTATAGGCGTGAGTCACTGTGCCCAGCCCCTGACATTTCTATAGAGAGCTCTTTTGGAAAGATCTCTGTATCCTACTTTTCATAGCATCCTGACTAATCTTCCATTATAATACTCAGTCAATTTCTCTAATCTTGATTTTGCCTCAGACATACCAAGATCATTTATCAGGTGAGAAGAAGACCACCTTTGTAATCATAAGATTAGTAGGTCTAGATGTTTTGATTAATTATCATTCCAGTCACCTTGTCCATTTGGCTTTCCCTTTGTTTTGGCATCATACGATATGATGTTCTGGACTCAGATTGGCCTTGTTCACAACTTAGCTGGAGAGACCAAATATCACTGCTAAATGATTCAAGAGGAAGAAACAGATTAGATAAATATTCCCAACCCTGAATGAAAATCTGCAGTCTTTTTTTCTTTTCCAAAAGATTTAAATTTTACCTATAAGTCACTTATTTGCTTGTTCATCCATTTATCCTATAGACATGTATTTAGCACTTACTATTAGGCTGAACGATGTGAAATTGATATTAGATCATTTTGACCTATAAAAATGGCAAGTTGTTCACATTGTTCAATCTAACTTTATTCGTTGATAAATTGAACACAACGAAACCAACCTTGGACTTCTGCTTGTAAATGTAAGTTAACAGTTACTGAATTCTAGATTTTTTAAAAATTTCTATTTCTCTTAAATCTTACTGTCCCTGTAATGTCGAAAGATTAGCCTTAGTATTTTAGAGTGGCGTGATCCCTATTGTTCAAGTCCTAGAACAGAACTGAACGTATGAGACTTAGATATGGTGTGTCTAAAGGTCCCACTATCACTTATTTGATAGTAGTTGTCCTTGTTTCTTATGAGTTTCCAAAACTCTTCACAGAATAGAAACCCAGGATTTTTGTGTCTAATTTAGAGACAGTAATAGCAATGGCAAGACCTGAGTAAGTTGTTGCATGGACCCCACCCTGACTTCCCCTGCAACCATGGAGTAGAAAGCCTTGAAATGACACATATAAATAATAATCTGGAATTTATTTTTTCTAGAAGAGACTTAGACAAATCTAATATCCATCAAGCTAACATGAGTCTATTTCTGAGATGAAAAGTGTCTTCCTCTCCCTGAACAGAGGAGCCTTTAAGGATCACTAGTGAATCTGGGAATAACTGGAGAGATACTCCCAATTCATCTAGAATGACTACGAACAATAGCACTATATTTCCTTTCAGTTCTGCAGTTTAGAGCATAGTTAGAAAAGATTTAAGATGTCCTTTCCCAAAATTCTTTCCAATCCATTAGTGTAGAATAACTCCAGTTCCTGGATGTTCCAATATTGTAGTTTCAAAGAATGGTGGAAGTACTGGTAGGAAAAGTAAGGGTGGATTCCAGTGACTGTAAGCCCCTGCTATAGAATCTCTTCTGTGAGCTTAATAACGGTGTCTGGGTATCTGCATCACGCTGAGCCTCCTGCTTTAGTTGGTGGAATTTGTGCTGTGTCCAGCCATATACTCCACAGTTGAGTAGACCCTGGGATGTTGCCGTTAGAGCCTGGAGGAGATGAAGGGGTGATGCAGCCCATGCTTCAGGTTTTCAGAGATCCAGGGAATAATTCCTACTTCCCTAATTCATAAAGCATTGTTATACTGTCTCTATCTCAAACATAAAGAGCTGACATAAGTTTTAAAAATATTTTTCTAGTTCATCCTGAATTCACTCTCTAAACTACACTATCATGGATGACTGAGATTTGGTCATATTTCTTAATATATACATAGGAACAATGAAGTAGCTTCAATGTCTCTCCTTATTGCCTCATTTCCCAGAGTAGCCTTGAGAAAACTATCTCAGAATAGTCAGATAGTCCAAAACGTATTCTTAAATCCAATAAACAAAAAAAAAGAGAGAGGATTATTCTATCTCCTCCCCACCATTCACCAAGAATAGTTCATTTATCCCATTCAATTTACTCTGGATGGGAGAGAACCATGTCACTATCAATGTTTCATAAGAACATGCCTGGCAGATCTTAATTTTGCTGTCCATTCCTTAAAAACACATCAGTAAAATAAAATTGACCAGAGATATATATGCTCTGGATGCATGGCAGTACTTTTACAACATCAACCACTTCGACTTTGAGAAAATTTTCACATTCTTCATAACTGAGTGTAAATAATACATTTTCTCTTTTGCAATGTAGAAATAAATACTCTGAGGGAAAAAACTGTGCTAATCGAGTACAGGTAATATGAGAAAATAGGATGAGGGTGTAAGAACAGAGATAATGAACGTTGAAGGTGTTACCTGGAGAACATAAAGAGCCATGTGAAGCTTGGTGTCCTGTGGCTTAGTCAGCTTTATGATCATCAGAATGACAGCTGTAAATACACAAAGTGTAAACCTTCTGGTCAGCCCTGACTGCCTGAAGTATCAGGTTCCTTCATACACATGCCTGAGCATTATCAGAATGGAAACAACAAGCATAATAAAATCCATCAGTGAGGTTAACCTGTTATGCGAACCAATGGGTCTTAGGCCTCTAACTTCTAGTCTTTAAGAATAAAACTTTGTAGACTATTAATGTCATAATGGTAGCAGGATATACCACAAGAAGGTAATAATTTACACTTCCTATCAATTCAGATTTTCCCAAGCTTTTTCCTAAAAATTATCCAATCTGGCCGGGTGTGGTGGCTCATGCCTGTAATCCCAGCACTTTGGGAGGCCAAGGCGGGCAGATCACCTGAAGTCAGGAGTTTGAGACCAGCCTGGCCAACCTGGCAAAACCATGTCTCTACTAAAAATGTAAAAATTAGGCTGGGTGCAGTGGCTCACGCCTATAATCCCAGCACTTTGGGAGGACGAGGCGGGTGGATCACAGGTTAGGAGTTCTAGACCAGCCTGGTCAATATGGTGATACCCCGTCTCTATTATAATTTTGTAAAAAATACAAAAATTAGCCAGGCATGGTGGCTACTCAGGAGGCTGAGGCAGGAGAATCTCTGGAACCCAGGAGGTGGAAGTTGCAGTGAGCCAAGATCATGTTACTGCACTCCATCCTGGTGACAGAGTGAGACTCTGTCTAAATATATATATAGTATACACACACACACACACACACACACACACACACACACACACACACATACATAAAGAAAGAAAAAAAATTAGCCAGGCATGGTGGCATATGCCTGTAATCCCAGCTACTTGGGAGGCTGAGGCAGGAGAATTGCTTGAACCTGGGAGGTGGAGGTTATAGTAAGCCAAGATTGCAAAACTGTACTCCAGCCTGGGCAATAGAGTGAGACTGTCTCAAATAAAAAAAAATTATCCAATCTGATCCTCACTATAACCTTATGCAGTAGGAAGGCCAGGTGTTAGTATCTCCAAGTCTGTCACAATGTTTCTTCCTTTTATATCATTGTGCATCTCATGTTTAATTCTCTTAATTTCTAAAACATAAGAAGCAAAAGGAGTTAAAGAGGTTGGTAAAAACTGGAAATATGGATAGGGCCCATGCAAATTTTACAAGCAGAATAGGAATTTGCAGCCATCCTTCTTGGTGACACCATTTTAATTGATCAGAATCTAATAACTGCCCTCTTCACTGCCCATCTGTTCTCATTAAGATACCTACCTGGGCCCCCGCAGCAAAAGAAGGCCACTGGGTAGAAGCGCACTCTCTGGTCCATAATGTGAATCACTGCCCACTGTTCACTCCCCAGAAAGCCAGATGACTTCACAAACTTCTTATACAATGTCTGGGCTTGGATAAGTAAGACCTAAATATAAGTATAGCAGTGAGCAGTTTATTTAAAGCTTAGTAAAATGCCCCAGGTCTATCCTCCTATCATTTAAAAAAGATTATTCTCTTAGAATCTCACAACAGGAATGACCCCATTCTCTTATCTTTACTTTCTGAGATCAGGCTTTCTCTGAGAAAAAAATACCTTAAGAGTGAACTTGGCCAGGCATGGTAGTTCATGCCTGTAATCCCAGCACTTTAGGAGGCTGAGGTGAGCAGATCATGAGGTCAGGAGTTTGAGACCAGCCTGACCAACATGGTAAAACCCTGTCTCTAGTAAAAATACAAAAACTAGGCCAGGTGCGGTGGCTCACGCCTGTAATCCCAGCACTTTGGGAGGCCGAGGCAGGCAGATCATGAGGTCAGGAGTTCAAGACCACATAGGCCAACATGGTGAAACCCTGTCTCTACTAAAAAATACAAAAATTAGCTGGGCATGGTGGCTCGTGCCTGTAATCCCAGCTACTTGGGAGGCTGAGGTAGAAGAATTGCTTCAACCGGAACATGGGAGGCAGAGGTTACAGTGAGCAGAGATAGTGCCATTGCACTCCAGCCTGGGATACAGACAGAGCAAGACCCCATCTCAAAAACTAAAAAACAATACAAAAATTAACCAGGCATGGTGGCAAGTGCCTGTAATCCCAACTACTCAGGAGGCTGAGGCAAAAGAATCACTTGAACCCGAGAGGTGAAGGTTGTTTTCTCTACTTTCAGCTGTCTGAATAAGGTTTAGCTCATGAAACAAATATAAATCAGTTCAAAATTCCAATGTGTTTTTTTATAGAAAATAAATTAGATAACACTCTTGGTAACAAATCTGACTCTTTTTCCCTAATCCAGATCTACTCACTAAGTTAATAACCTCATTACTTAATCAAGTTCAGCCATGTACACAGTCTTCTTTCCCTACATAAGCATCAAAAGGAGACAAATTTGATAATACTTACGTCTTAAAGAATCAGTTCACCATCTGCTGATCTTTAAATAATCGAGAATACTAATTCTGAGTATATACACTGAAACCTGGGCTATTGTAAAGAAGCAATCAGGAATCCACAGGGTGCCAAGGTCTAGGACCTGTTTCTCTTGGTAGTTCCAAATATAAACCATCAAGTTTGATAGGAACTAGTCATTGTGTACTCTTTGCAAAGCTACTGATTTGAACTGAGCCATCTTGTTCGTGTGTGTTTAAGAGAATTTTTTTTTTTTTTGAAACAGAGTCTCCTCTGTTGCCCAGACTAGAGTGGTGCAGTCTCAGCTAACTGCGATCTCCGTCTCCTGGGTTCAAGCAATTCTCAGGCCTCAGCCTCCTGAGTAGCTGGGACTATATGTGCATGCCACTATGCCTGGCTAATTTTTGTATTTTTAGTAGAAATGGGGTTTCACCATGTTGGCCAGACTGGTTTCGAATTCCTGGCCTCAAGTGATCTGCCTGCTTTGGCCTCCCAAAGTGCTGGGATTACAGGTGCGAACCACTGTGCCCAGCCAAACTCTATCTCTTTAACTTATGTTTGAGTTGTCAAAGGAAATTCCCCATTACTCTATCTGGTACACAGGTACTAGTGGGATACATTTGATCTGCAAGTAGATACCTTGTAATTCTTGAACTGGAATATAAAAAAAGGAGAAAATGATACTGAAAAATAGATATGGCAAATACAAACGGATATTTGCTCATTTACTGCTTTTGCATGAGGCAGTTATATAACTTACTATCCCCTGGCTAATTAGAATAATTGTACATCATCCTGATGATATCAAATGAGTATGTGATAACTTCATGAACCACTTAGCACTTTAGCCCCAGTTAGACATAGCATAAATACAAATTTATGGCCAAATGAAGAATTTCAAAAAGAAAATTATTTTATTATTTGGAAAATTAAATCAAAGCATATGTTCTATGTTCCAGAGTGTCATCCTATCTACATAAAGAATATATGTTATGGGCCGGGCACGGTGGCTCAAGCCTGTAATCCCAGCACTTTGGGAGGCCGAGGCGGGTGGATCACGAGGTCGAGAGATCGAGACCATCCCGGTCAACATGGTGAAACCCCGTCTCTACTAAAAATACAAAAAATTAGCTGAGCATGGTGGCGCGTGCCTGTAATCCCAGCTACTCAGGAGGCTGAGGCAGGAGAATTGCCTGAACCCAGGAGGCGGAGGTTGCGGTGAGCCGAGATCGCGCCATTGCACTCCAGCCTGGGTAACAAGAGCGAAACTCCATCTCAAAAAAAAAAAAAAAAAAGAATATATGTTATGCCCTAAGTGCATGCAGAAAAAAAAAGGAAATGGGGGAAAAAAAAGATAAGAACAACAACGACAAAATAATATATGTGACACATAAGAGTTTTCTGGCCAGAGGGGGTTGATGAAGCCTATATTAGTTGTAGAGTGGGCATATTTTCACCTAATGAATACAAGCTCTTTTCTTTCTCTCCTCCTCTGATTTGGAGAAGTCCAAAAATCTGTGGCAGTGATTATATGTCAAGATCTCCTAGCTACTTTCTTAGTTCTAGGACAACAAGAAGTGCCTCTCTGCCCCATCTTTCCCAGGTCCTGGGAATATTGGCCCATTCCCCTCACTTCCCCTTTTCTCCACAAAGGAAGGTAGGGTGGTACCATACCATAATGGTAAGGAGGCTGAGTACAAAGCTGCCCAGGAAAATGGTGATACCATAAAAATAAAGTATGCTACAGACAGACGTGTTGGCAGAAGGTAGGAGTTCAGCCATGGATGATGGTGGTGAGTGCATCAGGATACACCTAGGAAGAAAATGAACAAACAGGAGTATTACTACAGATGAGAAAAAAAAAAAAAGCTGCTCACCAAGAGTTAATAAGCATGTCATTTTACTTATCATTTTGCTAACTCTTGCCCATAACACCTTGTCACTCTCCCAAAGACACATTATCTTGTCATTTTGTGTTATACTTTTACTTTTGTATTTTTACCCTTTACTACATCTTGTTTCCTAGCCCATTTCTAATATAAGCACTTTGGTCAGAATGTACGTAGAAAGTCTTTTTCCAGCTCTTATTTATAGAAACAAATAGGTATAGTCTGCCATGAAAATCATACATTTAGTTCTTACTTACTTGTGATTCTGGCTGAAGTTTTGGAAACATTCACTATTATTGCCCAGACAGAATACAGGTGTCATCAATAGTAGAGGTATCAGGCTGGGAGGGGAAAAAAGCATCACCCAAATATCCAGTCTTTTTCATGTCCTTCCTCCTTTGCAGAATATTCTCCTGCCCTTCCCTCAATTATATCACCCCACCAATCACCACAAATAACACATTTTATTTCTTCAAGAAAAATACCTCAAATACCTTTGTTATTCCTTCTTTTCCAGGTCCTAGGGAAGTACAATGCAGTGGGGAATTAATTTTATACCTAGATTAGTGAATCCTACCATAGTTTCACAGATAATCTCTGGGAGCTGTATGATCAGATAAAAATCCAAGTGGGTCAAAGTGAAAGGAAAATCTGCGAAGGAGTTCTGTGTGCAGTCTGTTTTATTTTCAGTGGTGACCAGGAATAATCTCATTTTCATCAGCTCCTTCTTGGGAGCTTTTCCAAAGCTTAGCTTTAAATAGCCAGCTATTTATCCAACTAAATACAACCAGTTCCCTGTAAGAGGAAAAGATCCAGGAGCAAAAGTCACAAAAGTCTAAAACCAACTCTGATATGGCCACCACTTTAGGTGAGATCCAAACCCATTCTGGACTCTATAATCCTAACAGTCTTACCCAATGTTACAAAGTAGATGAGATCCTGAAGTTTGTCTATTACAAATCTTTATGACATAGAAAAAGGAGTAAGTGATCTAAAGACCAAAGAAATTTGTTCAAGGTCACACAGAATTGATGGCAGAATTGGAGCTAACACCCAAATCTATAACATCAGCTACTTTTCTATTCAATGTGGAAAAATGGAACCAATGAACACATATTTGTTGCTTTTAAGTTAGGCTCTGTGAGGACTTAGGAGTGACAACTGAAATAAAGGGCATTGTCCTATTTGTTCCCACCTGAACACCAGGATAATGAGAGTCTACGCCTTGCTAAAAAGTAAAGAAAAAAATCTTACCTTGAGAAAACGAGGGCCATTTGACCAACTCGACAAGTATAATCTATCACCTGTGAAAAGAATAAATGTGAGAAATGTCTTAAGACATTATCAATCATATAATAATAAATACCAAGTCAGTTAACACTCTAGAACAAAAAGATTTCCAAAAGCCCGTTTTTTCCTGTCAAGCAGTATTTGCTATAAAATTCATCTAACAGATAGTTCCTTATTAGCACTGTATATAATAGAATTTTATCTCTATTACTATATTCTAAAAAGTACAACAACACAAAAAAACCACAAAGAAAGCCTGCAGGAAGTAGCCTAATGTGGAATTTGGGTACTCAAACCAATTCTCTTAAGAATAAAGGCATAGGCCAGGCACGGTGGCTCATGCCTGTAATACCAGAACTTTGGGAGGCAGGTGGATCATAAGGTCAAGAAATCAAGACCATTCTGGACAACATGGCGAAACCCTGTCTCTACTAAAAAATACCAAAATCAGCTGGGCATGGTTGTGCGTGCCTGTAGTCCCAGCTACTCAGGAGGCTGAGGCAGGAGAATTGCTTGAACCTGGGAGGGGGAGGTTGCAGTGAGCTAAGATAGCACCACTGCACTCCAGCCTGGCACCTGGTGACAGCAACTCTGTCTCAAAAAAAGAAAAAAAGAAAGGCATATATGGAATCACATAGTAACCCTTCATCTTCTAATAACAGTAAAGTTCTTCTCTCTTTTAGACCCAGAGGGTGTGGACTTCTTCAGACTTTATGGGTGGAATGAAACCCTTCTTATAAGATGATCAGTAAAAAGTGTAATAGGCCAGGATTAGTATAATAGGGCAGGGTCAAATATGCCCTTCGGATATAAGACTGTTAGACACTAGAAGATAGAACATTTTCAAAATCTCATCTTGTGTTACACACTGTAAAACAACTTACAGAAGAATTATTCCTACCCACTAGGACTTCATGATGTAAGATTTTGAATGGAATATCTTAAAGAAATAATAGAATTAAAAATAAGCTTTTTTTCTTATTTAAGGTAGAAATCATATTTAGAATGGCATTGTTAGGGACCAATAAGCATTAAGTGAACAACTAATCCATAATCAGATATCGGTAACTAATCTCCCCAAACAGTTTGGATCTGGAATAGGACAGCTAGTGCTGACTATAGGAAAGTAAGTAAAATTGGTTTTTGTGACCCCTCCCACCCACTTCCATTCTTCACTTTTTTTTTTTTTTTTTTTGGAGACTGAGTCTTGCTCTGTCACCCAGGCTGGAGTGCAGTGATGAAATCTCAGCTCACCACAACCTCCACCTCCAGGGTTCAAGTGATTCTCCTGCCTCAGCTTCCTGAGTAGCTAGCAGTACAGGTATGTACCACCATGCCCAGCTCATTTTTTAATTTTTAATAGAGACAGGGTTTCACCATGCTGGCCAGCCTGGTTTCATACTCCTGATCTGTAATCTGCCCACCTCAGAATCCCAAAGTGCTGGGATTACAGGCATGAGCCACTGTGCTTGGCCCCACTTTTTATTCTTTCCTCCACCAGGTGGTTCCTGTGTTTAACTCTTATTTTTACCTAGGTATCAATGAATCTCTGATACAAAGCTTACTGCTGGCTGGGTGTGGTAGCTCATACCTGTAATCCCAGCACTTTGGGAGGCTGAGGCAAGCAGATCACACAAGGTCAAGAGATCGAGACCATCCTGGCCAACATGGTGAAAACCTGTCTCTACTAAAAGTACAAAAATTAGCTGGGCATGGTGGTGTCCACCTGTAGTCCCAGCTACTCAGGAGGCTGAGGCTCCTGCTGAGGCAGGAGAATCGCTTGAACCAGGGAATTGGAGGTTGTAGTGAGCCGAGATTGCGCCTCTGCACTCCAACCTGGCAACAGAGTGAGACTCTGTCTCAAAAAAAAAAAAAAAAAAAGAAGGGTAATTATTAGTATGGAATACCCAGAGGTAAACTAAAGAAAAGTTACCAGAGTATAATCCTGTGTTGCACAATACAGTAGCTATAGCTGCATGTGGATAATTAAATTAAAATTAAATAAAATTTAAAATTCAGTTCCTCAATCACATTAGCCACATTATAAGTGTTCAGTATCCACATATAGCTAGTAGCTACTAAACTAGACTGTGAATTAAATATTTTGATTATTGAAAAAAGTTGAACAGCTCTTTTATAGGCTGTAATATCCTGTTCAGGATACTGCTTAAGGGCCTCTTCATGTTACTTTTCCATTATTTTCTCAGTGCCCTTTCTCCTTACAGTAAGACAGAGTGAGAAACAGAAATTTAAAATGCATTCTCTGCCCTGGCCTTCTTCAACCATGAACATGTAGAACAACAGAAAAAAGTAAGAAGAATATCTCCTTAAGAAGTCAATCAGGGCTGGCCTCGGTGGCTCATGCCTGTAATCCCAGCACTTTGGGAGGCCGAGGCAGGTGGATCACGAGGTCGAGATCGAGACCATCCTGGCCAACATGATGAAACCCTGTCTCTACTAAAAATACAAAAAAATTGGGGCCAGGTGTGGTGGCTCAAGCCTATAATCCCAGCACTTTGGGTGGCCAAGGCGGGTGGATCACAAGGTCAAAAGATCGAGACCATCCTGGTCAACATGGTGAAACCTCGTCTCTACTAAAAATACAAAAAATTAGCTGGGCATGGTGGCACGTGCCTGTAATCCCAGCTACTCAGGAGGCTGAGGCAGGAGAATTGCCTGAACCCAGGAGGTGGAGGTTGCGGTGAGCCGAGATCGTGCCATTGCACTCCAGCCTGGGTAACAAGAGCAAAACTCCATCTCAAAAAAAAAAAAAAAAAAAAATTAGCTGGGTGTGGTGGTGGGTGCCTGTAGTCCAAGCTACTCGAGAGGCTGAGGCAGGAGAATCACTTGAACCTGGGAGGCAGAGGTTGCAGTGAGCCAAGATTGCGCCACTGCACTCCAGCCTGATGACAGAATGAGACTCCATCTCAAAAAAAAGAAAAAAAGAAGTCAAGCAGATGAGAGTTCACAGAATCATAGCATCTTGGAGGTGGAAGGGACATTAAAGACCACATAGACTAACAACTCATTTTATTTGTTTATTTTTAGATGGTGTTTCACTCTTGTTGCACAGGCTGGAGTGCAATGGCATGATTGTGGCTCACCACAACCTCCTGGGGACAAGTGATTCTCCTGCCTCAGCCTCCCGAGTAGAGGCATGAGCCACCACACCTGGCTAATTTTGTATGTTTAGTAGAATGGGTTTCACCATATTAGTCAGGCTAGTCTGTGCACTTCGGCCTCCTAGAATGCTGGGATTACACGCATGAGCCACCGTGCCCAGCCAACACTTCATTTTATGATGAAAAACTGGAGGTGCAAGAAAGGGAGATGATATGTCTAAGGTCACAACAGGAGATAAATAACAGAACTGGGTCTAGAAGACAGATCTTCTGATCTACCCTGAAATGCCCTTTTCACGATATAATAGTATTATTTATTTGTTCAACAAATATTTATCGGCCAGGCACAGTGGCTCATGCCTGTAGTCCCAGCATTTTGGGAGGCCAAGGTGGACGGATCACTTGAGGTCAGGAGTTTGAGACCAGCCTGGCCAACGTGGTGAAACCCCATCTCTACAAAAAACACACAAAATTTAGCCTGATGTGGCAGTGCATGCCTGTAATCCCATCTACTTGAGATGCTAAGGGATGAGAAATGCCTGAATCCAGGGTTGGCATAGAGTCAAGAAGAATTTCTCTTGCTGAGTCAAACCAGGCAGGAATGCCAGTACTATAAATAATATTCCTATAATCAAACCTGTATGTGTGTGTGTGTGTGTGTGTGTGTGTGTGTGTGTGTGTCAGAGAGAGAGAGAGAGAGAGAGAGAAGGGAGAAGAGGAAGTGATGTCAATAGGATGGAAACTCTGTGGAAACCTATTTTTTCTTGATTAATCTCCATAAATGCAGCTAGCTATTGCTAAATGCTTACACTGTTTATCAGGGATATATAGGTTTTTACATATTATTTTTTTGTGTGTCACCCAGGCTGGGGTACAGTGGCTTGAATGATCCTCCTGCTGCAGCCTCGCCCCTCCACCACCAGTAGCTAAGACCATAGGCATATGCTACAATGCCCAGCTAATTTTTTTTGGTATCTTTTGTAGAGATGGGTTTTTGCCATGTTGCCCAGACTGGTCTCGAACTCCTGAGCATAAGCAATCTGCCCCCTTCAGCCTCCCAAAGTGCTGGGATTACAGGTATAAGCCACCACACCCAGCCTAGCATACTATTATTAACTGTTGGCTCTGAATAAAACTTACCAGTGGAGATGGGCTCTGTCCACTCTGGGTGTGTTTCATCCTCAGCTCTGTGTACAGATACCAGATGTAATTGACAGTGCAGAGAAACGAAGAAATGTAGAATACCTAGGTTAAAATCAAAACAGCCTATCATAACTGTCTCACTCTGACACTGTGAAGTTCTTTCAACATATTCCATTATGGGAATCCTACCTACTAGTCTATTAGTAACGTACCACCTACCGTCCACACCAGGCAAAACCATACCAAGTCTGAAGTTGTGTGTGTGTGTGTGTGTGTGTGTGTGTGTGTGTGTGTGTCTGTCTGTCTGTGTCAGAGTTTTCACTCTTGTTGCCCAGGCTGGAGTGCAGTGGTACAATCTCGGCTCACTGCAACCTCTGCCTCCTAGGTTCAAGCGATTCTCCTGCATCAGCCTCCTGAATAGCTGGGATTACAGGCATGTGCCACCATGCCTGGCTAAATTTTTGGATTTTTAGTAGAGATGGTGTTTCACCATGTTGGCCAGGCTGGTCTCAAACGCCTGACCTCAGATGATCCTCCTGCCTCAGCCTCCCAAAGTGCTGGAATTACAGATGTGAGCCACTGCATCTGGCCCCAAGTCTGAAATTTTTAATAGGCCTACCTAAAACATGCCCTGCTTCCTTATTTTCTCCTTTGGTCTGTTCAGAAGAACCACAGCGTTATCCACCTCTACCTCTCCAACAGTCTCACTTTTATGAAGATATCATATAGTCTTTTTCTATTTTATGTTTTAATTTAAAAGGAAATAAGGATTTCTATTTCTAGTAATGATAAGCTAAGCTATTTGAATCAACTTTCCATTCAAAAGAACTAAATATGCTGGATAAAATATTTTTTAAATCCTTAAAAGAACTGAAATTATATCAAAGAACTAGTGGGATAAAATCTAAGGGAAGGAATTTCTACTTCCAGCTTTGATGAGATAACAGGAAAAGAATTTACCCTCTGGCCTTAAACAACTAAAAATTGAATAAAATATATGAAAATATCCAGTTTTCAAACAGTAGGCAACAAGCAGAAGAGAACACCAATCCCTGCAAAAAGAGAAGGAAGGTGAGTCCATCAAGGGCCCCAGCTCACTGGTTGGTTAAGAGTGAGTACAGAAGGGCCGGTCACGGTGGCTCATGTGTAATCCTAGCACATTGGGAGGCCAAGGTGGGTGGATCACAAGGTCAAGAGATCAAGACCATCTTGGCCAACATGGTGAAACCCCGTCTCTACTAAAAATACAAAAATTAGCTGGGCGTGGTGGTATGTGCCTGTTGTCCCAGCTACTTGGGAGGCTGAGGCAGAAGAATTGCCTGAACCCAGAAGGCAGGGGTTGCAGTGAGCCAAGATCGTGCCACTGCACTCCAGCCTGGTGACAGAGTGTGACTCCATCTCAAAAAAAAAAAAAAAAAAAAAGAGTGAGTATAGGAGGAGAAATCCAAACAGACCACTGCCTTGGTGAGTTGAGAAGACAAAATTCAGTTTGGGAGGCCAAGGCAGCTAAAATTTGTGAAGTACAGTATCAGAACAGAGGAAGCTATATAGTGAGATGATGTTCAGGAAAGCTGCAGAGGTCACCCCAAGTCTTTGGTTAAGTATTAATCAGTGTAAAAACCACAAAAACCAGAGAATCATCAGAAAGGAGTAGATGAGACAATCCCTAAAGCTCCCACAGAGCCAGGAATAGTTTGTTTTCTCATCAACCGGGTGGAAAAATACACAGGGCAGAATCATAAGAAGACTATCGATTCTGTAATGAGACCAAATTGTCTGTACATAAAAGGCTGCCCTAATGCTTAAAAGCAAACCTACTAATTAGCAGGGTGTAGTGGCACACGCCTGTAATCTCAGCTACTCTGGGGGCTGAGACAGGCGAATTACTTGAGCCCTGGTGGTAGAGGTTGCAGTGAGCCAAGATGTTCAGCCTGGACAACAGAGTGAGACTCCATCTAATTAAAAAAAAAAAAAAAAAAAAGGCAAGCCTTCAAAAAACAGGCAAGCCTTGAAAGGATCAAACAGATCAAACAGATTCAGAGTTAACTTTATCCAAGACAACCGCCTTGCCCATTTAAAGGAATGTATTTAAAAATCTAATGCCAAACAATGTAAAATCCACAACGTCTGGTATCTAATAAAACACAAGGCATACAAAGAAGCAGGAAAATCTGACCCATAACCAAGAGAAAAGTTAATCAATGTAAGTGGACTCAGAAATAACACAGATTATAAAAATTAGTAGACAAATATGTTAGAGGAACTATTACAAATATACTTCTTATGCTTAAAAAGGTAGACGAAAGTAGAAAAATGAAAAATATAAAAAAGATCCAAACTTAATTTCTAGGGATGAAAAATATGTGAAATGAAAAATACAGCATATTAGAAACTGGAAAAGATGGGTAAACTTGAAGATATAGAAATATAAACAATCTGAGAAAGATCACACAGAGTAAAAAGACTTTAAAGAATGAGCAATCAGTGAACTGTGGAATAATATCAAAGTTAATGCACATCAAATTGGAATTCCAGCAGTTAAGAGGGAGAAAAGAATGTTTGAAAAAATAATGGCCAGGCCGGGCGCGGTGGCGCAAGCCTGTAATCCCAGCACTTTGGGAGGCTGAGGCAGGTGGATCACGAGGTCAAGAGATTGAGACCATCCTGGTTAACATGGTGAAACTCTGTCTCTTCTAAAAATACAAAAAGTTAGCTGGGCATGGTGGCATGTGCCTGTAATCCCAGCTACTCAGGAGGCTGAGGCAGGAGAATTGCCTGAACCCAGGAGGTGGAGGTTGCAGTGAGCCGAGATCGTGCCATTGCACTCCAGCCTGGGTAACAAGAGCAAAACTTCGTCTCAAAAATAAATAAATAAATGAAAAAATAATGGCCAAAATGTTTCTAAATTTGATAAAAACTAGAAACCATCATACCCAAGAAGTTTAACAAATCTAAGCACAAGAAACATAAACACCCCAAAGTACATTGTAACCAATTATAAACAGAAAATTCCCAAAGCAACTAGTGTAACAATGCACATTACATATACAGGAACGAAGATAAGCAAAAAGTGTCAGCAAACTTCTTATCAAAAAGAATGCAATCCAAAAAAAATGAGAGTAATATCTTTAAAACTCTGAAAGAAAAAAACAAACCGTGTCAACACAGCCAAAATGCCTTTCAGAAAAAAGACAAAACTAAACACTTTTTCAGACAAACAAAAGCTCAGATAATACAGTGAAACAGATCATTACTACAAGAAATATTAAAGGAAGTCCTTCAAGCAGAAAACAGAAGATACCAGATAGAAATTTCTTTTCTTCATTATTATTATTTAAGATGGGATCACACCGTGTTGCCCAGGCTGATCTCGAACTCCTGGGCTCAAGTGGGCCTCAGTCTCCCAAAGTGCTGGGATTACCATGCCCCACTGAATTTCTCATTTGAACACACAGGAGTTAAAGAGAGAATTCTTAAAAAAAAAAAAAAAAAAAAAAAAAAAAAGGAGAGGGGGGCCTGAGTAGTAGAGCTAAACTAGTGCTAGAGAAGAGGCTACTCTAGATTATACTTAATAGCAAAGCTTCAAAGGATCAAGCTGATCCAAAAGTGACTTAACTCTGACAAAAAAACTTCCGCAGTTTCTAAAGGAAGACAACAAAATCCAAATCCACAAAAAACATAATATTCACAATGTCCAGGATCCAATAAAAATTACCGGACATTTATAAAACATAGGAGTAAAATGTAGAAATAATGGGGAAATAAAAATTGTGTAGATGGGATGAGGGGAAAGTGAGACTTCTTTGAGTATACCTTTCTATGCAATTCTGACTTTTAGAACAATGCTAATGTTTACATACTAAAATATATATAAGTATGAGTGTACGTATATACATATATATATATATATACACACACACACATATTATATATTATATAATGTTTAAAACCAACCAAGATGGACAGGCGTAGGGATAAATTACAAACATAAACAGCTGGGCGCTGTGGCTCACGCCTGTCATCCCAGGACTTTGGGAGGCTGAGGCAGGCAGATCACCTGAGGCTGGGAGTTCAAGACCAGCCTGACGAACATGGAGAAACCCCGTCTTAACTAAAAATACAAAATTAGCCAGGCATAGTGGTGCATGCTTGTAATCTCAGCTACTCAGGAGGCTGAGCAAGAAGAATCGCTTGAACCTGAGAGGTGGAGGTTGCAGTGAGCCAAGATCATGCCATTGCACTCCAGCCTGGGCAAAAAGAGCAAAACTCCATCTCAAAAACACAAAACTAAAACTGACTGTTAAAGAATAATGTAAGTACACTGAAGGAAATGGGGAAGAAAATAACCTAAGTAACTACATACGTTATAGAAGAAAACATAGGTGAAAAATCTTACTGACATTAGGTTTCATAAAGATTTCTTAAATACTATAAAGGGTGAATTATTTTTAATAACTTTTCTTTTCTTTTCTTTTTTTTTGGAGACGGAGTTTCGCTCTTGTTACCCAGGCTGGAGTGCAATGGCGCGATCTCGGCTCACTGCAACCTCCGCCTCCTGGGTTCAGGCAATTCTCCTGCCTCAGCCTCCTGAGTAGCTGGGATTACAGGCACGCGCCACCATGTCCAGCTAATTTTTTGTATTTTTAGTAGAGACGGGGTTTCACCAAGTTGACCAGGATGGTCTCGATCTCTTGACCTTGTGATCCACCCGCCTTGGCCTCCCAAAGTGCTGGGATTACAGGCTTGAGCCACCGCGCCCGGCCAATAAATTTTCATAACTGAATTTCATCAATATTAACAACTTTTTTTCTTCAAAAGAAATTGCTGGCCAGGTGCAATGGCTCACACCTACAATCCCAACACTTTGGGAGGAGAAGGAGGGAAGAGCACTTGAGGCCGGGAGTTTAGGACCAGCCTGCAACACAGCAATAACTTGTCTCTACAAAAAAACATTTCTTTTTTTTTTTAGTCAGCCATGATGGCATGCACCAGTAGTCCTTGCTACTTCGGAAGGCTGAAGCAGGAGAGACCAACCATTCTATGCTAACGAAACAGATGCTTTAAGAAGCAACAGGTAGTGTTACATCTCTTTTAGAATTTGT